GCGTGAAAAACTGGATTTGATGACAATGCACCCGCACTCATATTATCACACCACAGTATAGGGACATCATTTATCTGGATTCCAAGCTCTTGAAACAGATTTTGAATCTAGACTAATTCTGGACTCAAGGCTCTATATTCAGCCTCTGTTGAAGAAAGAGAAACCAATTTTTGCTTCCTAGAACCCCATTGAACTAGATTCCCTCCAAGAAAAATATTGTAGCCAGAGGTGGATCTTCTGTCACTTACATCGCTGGCCCAATCTGCATCAGCATACCCTTCTAGCAGAAATTTTTCATTTTTTTGGAAAAATAGTCCATGCTGAATAGTCCCTTTAATATACCGGAGCACTCTCTTGCATGCAGTCCATTGATTGATTATGGGGTACTGAAGAAACTGACTTAACCTGTTGACTGCAAAAGCCAAGTCAGGCCGTGAGAGTGTTAAGTATTGAAGGCCCCCCACTAAACTTCTATACAGCGTAGGTTGATCAAAGAGGGGACTGTCCTCTTTTCCCAATTTCGTACCTGTAGCCATTGGGGTATTACATGGCTTACACTCAGCTAAACCAGCTTTGCTCAGTAATTCTTGTGCATATTTGGTTTAGGTAAGGAGTAAACCTGTCTCATTTCTACACACTTCAAACCCAAGAAAATAGCTTATCTCTCCTAAAGTTTTTAGTGCAAAACAGCCATTCAAATCAGTAACAATCTGATCAATCAACTCTGAATCATTTCCAGTAATTAAAATATCGTCAACATACACAAGTAAGTATATTACCTGAGTATCTTTCTTGAAAAAGAATAGACTTGTATCTGAAGTGGAACACTGAAAACCCCAAGTTAAAAGGGCAGATTTCAACTTATCAAACCAGGCCCGAGGTGCCTGTTTTAATCCATACAGAGCTTTGTTGAGTTTGCACACATATTTGTGATGAGTCTTATCACCAAAACCTTCAGGTTGCATCATGAAAACATTCTCTGACAGGTCTCTATTCAAGAACGCATTGTTAATGTTGATTTACTGTATCTGCCAACCGTTGTGGACTGCCAGGGAGAACATAATCCTGATGGTAGCTGGTTTGATCACAAGAGAAAATGTATCAAAGTAATCAACTCCTAGTGTTTGTTGAAATCCTTTCACCACCAACCGAGCTTTGTATTTCTGAAGTGTGCCATCTGCTTTTAATTTGGTCTTGAAAACCCACTTGCAACCTACTATATTCATATCGGAGTGGGAGGAACTAACTCCCATGTGTTGTTCCTTTTTAATGCTTCAAATTCTTCATTCATAGCTTGTTTCCATTCTGAAATGCTTAAGGCTTCAGATACACTTTTTGGTTCAGATAGGATGGAGGTTGTGGCCAGAAAAACTTGACTTATAATCTGGTTATCCCTGGTTTTTGATCTGGTGAGCATTGGATGACAGTTTGTAGTAGCATTGGTGTGTGCTGGAGGTACTGACATTGCTGCATTGTTCTGAGAGATGGGTAAGACAACCTCCAGGTGTATTCTGGGAGCTGAAGGTTGATCAGAAGCAGTGTAAGTACCTGCTGTATTTAAGAAAGAGTCACCAAAAAAATTAGAAACATCAGATTCTGAAACTGGGACAGTATCAGTAACAGGTCTCACTGAACCCCTTGATGCTGTTGTAGCAGGTAGGTTTATAACTTCTGTTAAGTCTTGTGCCGAGAGACCCTTTCCACATAATGAATCTCCACCTGGTTTTTCAGTAGGCAACTGTGAATTAGTAGCATCAACAGCCAGTGAAGTTATATGTACTTCTGCAGTAGAAGACACATTGTTATTAGTGACAAAAACATAATTTGAATCTAAACAATGAGCAAGGTTCCAGGATGAACAAAACCCTTCAGAACCAGTGTTTGTAGATACCCCTGTAAGATCCAAATTTTTCAGTTGCATACACTTGAAATCATGTTTAAAAGGAAACATTGTCTCATTGAACTTGGCTTGTTTAACAATATAAATCTTTCCTGTGGAAGACAAGCATTTAAACCCCTTATGAGCTGGACTATACCCAATAAACACACATTGCTCAGTGTGATAAGAAAACTTATGTTTTTGATAGGGTCGTATGTATGGGTAGCAACAACAGCCGAAGACCCTAAGATCAGTATATGTGGGTTCTTTACCAAACAGTTTCTGATATGGTGAGACATCTTTAAGAGCAACAGAGGGCAGTTTGTTAACAATGAACACTGCTGTGCTAAAGGATTGCCACCAAAAACATAAAGGCATTCCTGCATGTGCTAACAAAGTTAAACCAAACTCTGTAATTGTTCTGTGCCTTCTTTCCACCTTCCCATTCTGTTGATGTAAATAGGGGCAGGGGTGTCTAAAGCCTATGCCATGAGTTTCCAGATAAGAAGTAAAAGACGTGAACTCCCTCCACAATCAGTTTGAAGATTCTTCAGTGTAGCATCTAATTGTTTTTCAGCAAACACATGAAAACTAGTAAACACCTTAAAGGCTTCAGACTTGAGTTTCAAAGGGTATATCCACATGTATCTACTGTAATCATCAACAAACAACATATAATATTTGAAACCTTCTGTAGAGCATACTGGTGCAGGGCCCCATAAATCTGAATAAACCAGTTCAAGTGGCCTGGAAGTCTTAGAATTGGACAAAGGAAAAGAAGTCTAAGCCAATTTACAAAATTGGCAGGCTTCACAAAAGCTTTTATTATAGGTAGACAATCCAGGTACATGCAATTTATTTAATACATGCTTAAGAGTTCTTTCTTGGGGATGTCCCAATCTAGCATGCCACACCATTATTGACTTATCAGCTACATCAGAATTATCAATTACATCAGATTGCACCCTATGTAATACATCAGTAGTATTATTATTATGACTACACTTATTATTGAGAGTAGTAGAGGCAGCCACATTACAGGAAGCAGTTGGAGCAGATACACCAGAAGATGAAAACACAGCAGGAAGAGAGGCTTCCAGTTGATATAAGCCATCCTTTAGGACACCTTGAAGGAGTACATCTCTGGTGTTCTTATCCTTAATAGGACAACGATCAACATGAAATTCAACTATTACACCATTATCCTTTGTAATCTGTGAAATACTTAGTAAATTCTTTGCTATATGAGGTACACACAGCATATTTCTAAGATGCAACAATCTAGAAGCAGAGCCAGAAGTTAGAAAAGACTCACCTGTGTGTGAGACAGGTACTGTCTGGCCATTTCCAACCTGCACATTTGAGCCACCTTGATAGTTATCTTTAATGATCAGATTTTTGACATCAGTTGTCATGTGGTTTGTGGCACCAGAGTCCACATACCACGTTTGGTCTTGCACAGTGTGAGGAGAAGTAACTGGTATATGCTGAGCAGCTACTGATGAAATAGAATTCTGAGATAGCTGAGGAACAGAATGTTGTACAGGATAACCAAGGTAGTTCTGTGGTGTATTAGTCTGTGCAGTAGGAGCATTGGTTATGGATGAAATAAAATTTCTAGGATTAGGATTTCCAGCAGCTGTCTTGGGAATGAATTGTCCTGGCATGATTGTAGTAAGAAGAGCTTGTGCTGACTCAGTAGAGTGAACTGGAGTAGAACTTTGTGAACCATTAAAACCAGTAGATCCAGGTACTGAGAAACCATTAAAACTAGTAGATCCAGATACTGACCCAGGGACTGAGAAACCTAGATATTCATGATCAAATGTATGATAGAACTGCAGTGCTGTGTGTCCTCCCTTACCACATACTTGACAGATTAGTTTAGGCCTAAAATATCCTCTTCCTCGGCCTCTACTTCTCATCATTCCAGGATGAAACATGTGAGACTGGTTTCCAGGGTTAAAACCATATCCAGTCTATGAGTATTGAGAGGAATGTGAGGGATTAAAATACGAGTGAACTGCACTGTTTAAACTGTTTTCTCCAGAATGGTTGTTACTAGGCATCTGTTGGTGAAGGAAATTCTGATCTGAAGGTTGAAAATTGGGCATTGATTGAAATTGAGGAGTAGTGAAATTATGAGCATGAAAATTCCCATTACTAGCACCAGAAACATTCTGAGAACCTAAAGAGGACTCTATCTGAGACTGTTTGGAAGCCAAAAGAGCTGAAGCCACGTGTTCATGAAAATTTGACAAAGAACTTTGCTGTCTCTCCAACCTAATCTCATGTTTGTGAAGTAAGAATTGGGCTTCTTGTAGTGTCGTTTGACTACTACAAGCTATCAGATTTGCCACAACAGCATCATACTCTGGCCCTAAGCCGTTTAATATATACAACAAAAGTTCTTCATCTGTGATATTCACTCCACTTGCTATCAATTCATCTCCTAATTCTTTCATTTTCAACACATATTCACTCACATTACAACCTTCTTTCTTAGTAATCTGTAATAGGTTTCTCAGATGTAAGGTCCTAGCTTTGGATACCGACTGGAAATGAAGCTCTAAAACATTCCATATTTCATATAAAGTAGTGCATTTTGCTACATGCCAAAACATGGATTCAGAGATTGAGGAGTAAAGCCAGCTTACCAAGAATTGGTTAATCTTCTTCCAAGTGAGGTAGCTAGGGTTTTGTTTCTTCTCTTTCTATCCTGAGTCAGTAGATTTCTCTAACAAGATCATCAGTGGACATTCATTTTCACTAGTAACAAAGCCTTCGAGACCATGAGATGTCAAGGCCGACAGAATCTATGATCTCTAGAACGAATAGTTCTTCTCTAGCAGTTTTACAGAGACGACAGGTAGGTTGGGTGGAACTCCTGAAGGAGTGAGATTTGAACTGGAGCTATGAGCCTCCATGTTTAAAATTGTCAAGATTATTCAAGATCGAGGATGAATTTTTCCCTTGGATGTTGGTCTAGGGCTCTGATACCATGAAAGATTTGACGAGGTCAAGAAAACTAAGAAACAAAAAATGCAAAAGAAAAAAGTGCAGAGGAAGCTACTGGAGAACGAAGAAAGACTGAATCAGAATTTTTATTAACTAATTTCTGCTACAGTGCATTAGCACTTATATAGCCAATTGAAACGGCAGTGCTTTTAGATTCTGAAATTACACTTAGTACATGCAGCTTATACAATCATTACAAACAAGACCCCGGCTTCTTTAAACTCCTCTGTTTTTCACTAATTTCTCACAGTACCTCTGCTTAACACCCATTGACAAGACGTCGTGATCGGAGGCATCAGAATCCTTAACAAATCAATCCAACGACACACACAATAAATATTAATTTCAATTACATATCACGCGCCACCACAACTAGAAGGGGATTTCACAATCGCAAGTCATTTACTTCAGCATAGCCTTGCTGCCTCCGTAAACTGCGTCTGAACCGCAGCACTGCTTCTATTAGTCCCCATCTATCGATGTTGCTCTCCGTACTTTCACCTCCCATAGGAGGGGCGGATGAAATTGACTCTCTTCCTTCTTCCAAACTCTCGAGCTGGGCTGCATTCGGGATAACCCGGCGTCTGGGTCCATAGAATAAATATATAACGACAAAGTATATAAGCATATTGATAGAACTAACAATTGTTAGCCTGTAGTAGTACTTGTCCAGCTGACTATTGTCCAAGGTGTCACCAAACAAGCTTTTGTTTGCTTCAATAAAAAGGATGCTAAGGAAATTTCCAAGTCCAATAACGAACTCATTAATTTCGGATACATACTTCTTCGATGGATCCTGAAACTGTTCAATGGTGAATTCATCGAGTCCAATTGTAACAAGCCCTTCCGTTAGACCTAGCAGAAAGAACTGAGGAGAAAACCAGAATATACTCATGGGTATAGTTTCATCATTATAATCAAAATCAATGTCTGATAATCCCTTAATTTCGAATTATTGTCGCCCTACGATGCTCAACCTGCCATCCAACAGCAAAGCAAAGTATAGATGAAACAATTCCACCACAAATTCCAGCTTGTATAATCGTGTTCTTTCTACCTTCTGGTATCCATTTTGTGCTGATCAATAATTTTAACAGATAGGAGCCAATTCCAAGTGAAAGATCTTTAAGTATACATAAGGAGACTGAAAACTCTGAGGACTTCATGTTCTTCCCCTGCTCAGGAAAAAAGGCATTGCCGGTAGATAATACCAAACCAACCACAAGAATAGTAGTCCACATGGGAATCATACTTACAAAACACTTTTTTACTAGCTTTAACTGGACTTGTGCCATATGAAATGACAAAAATTGAAATTGATATTCATCATTATCATTGTCTTTATCGACGGGATGATTGGAAGAAGTAGGATACCCAAGAATCCTAATTTTCAATACTAAGGCCTTGATAACATGAAAAATTACACTAAAATAGCTGCCAACACTAGCCAATTCTCTAGGATGGTAGAGACAAATACAACAGCAAAACAAGAAGCAAGCACTTCCTGTCAACGATGTTGCGATCAATAAAATTTTTTGCCATTTAAGAAAAAATATCAATATTGATGCAACTACTGCAGGAGAAAACATGATAACAAGTAACCCCGCCCTAATCCAAACCCTTTTCCACACACTTTTTCGACTCCTTACTAGACTCTCAACATCCTTTTTTACCAGTTTAACTACTGCAGGAGAAAGCTCGATAACAAGGCCCCACACCCAACTCCACACCCTTTTCCACACACTTTTTCGAGTGCTCACTTGACTCTCATCAGGGTTTGTTTCCGGTTCGTCAACTTTTAATTGATAACAAAGAAATGGTTTTAATGGTGCCTCCAATCCAGCTTTACCCACTGCTAAGAATAATATTCCAATTATCACGGATAAGTCAGAGTACTTAACTGTCGATCTATATAAGAGACCCAATCCCTGCAACAAGCCATTGGCTTTGTTAGTCCATGCATATTACATTGGACATGCCAGACATTTCCAATATATAATAATTTATTATTATTTACGACATGTTACTATAAGGTTAAATACATTTTGGTTCACCAGATTTAGTCTAAGCAATATTAGTTATAACATAATTATTTAGGTATAATAGAATTTAAAAGTAACACTTACTTTATCAGTTTATAAGTATAAATTCGATGAATTTGTGGGTAATATTAAGTTGTTAAACTTATATTGAAGGCTAAAAAGTTATTTCTGAATTTAATAGATTTCTTTTAGATATAACAAACATGGGAATTAGGTATAAGTTTTTTTTTAAACCATTGGGTGGTTTTTTATTTTGCCAAACATATGGAGGTTGACTGTGATAGACAATATGAAGATGAAATACAAAAATGCAATACTGCAAAGGATTAGAGGGGAAATTAATTAAGCCATATTTCGTAGTTAACAGAATGCTAAATTAACAAACTTACCAAAGTGAAGCAAATAGTTGAAAAAAAGATAACTTTTATACGACCTAGGAGGGATTCTGAAATGTAAACCGCAATAATTTTCAGACACTTTGATAGTCCCTTCAGAATGTTCGTCAATCTTGCAGCTTTTATGATATGATAATCAATTGTATCGGTGAAGTATGTGATGAAAAGAGCCACTACAGCGTAGTCCATGAAATTGTACAAGGACACAAAGACTGGAAATTAAAATAAACCATTAGTGCCTTAGAAAAGAGGGTGTCTAATCAAATTAATAATCCGGCCAATACACTTTCTACTACAGCAAATATAATTAAGCTTTAGTGTATCAACAAGGCATTGGATAAATCCAATGGTGTCAAGCTCAAAAGTTAAAAACATCTTGATTCCATTATATAACAAAGTTGCAACACACACTTTCTCTCTCAAAAAACAAAACAGTGTAGACTAATTATAAACTTAATCAATTTTAACTTCTAATTAATTATTTGAAAAGTCATCAGTTTTATTAGCTTCCTTTGTATTTTCTATTGATCCAAACAAAACCAAATGTTTTGTTTACTTCTAGTTTGATGTTTTATCTGTTTGTAACTCTGTTGTGTTCTCATTTTAGCCTTCGGAACTATGTTTATATAAGCAAGATATAGGTAAAGGAGACTTAGCGGTGAAGATGGAGTAGCAGTAATAATATAATATAGACAAATACGAATATATAAATAAATTACTTGTGTCTAGCGTTATTTATCAGTACTGGCAAATTGAATTATTTATCAAGTCATAGATTAGCTACTGTGAGGCCCGTGACAGAACCATGATGGCGGTGGAATATCGGTGGCCATGTGACTATGAACCTGTGATAGTGGTGCTGCAGGTGCCGCACGTGGTGGTGGTGATGATAGAGTAGCAGTAATTAAAGACAAACACAATAGGTAAATTTACTAAATTACTTGACATCCAGTACTGTTACCTAAGACAAATGCCACTCCCATACGAGAAAGAATGCGATAGCTTGCCGTGAATATGAACTTGGAGAAGATGTAAATAAGAATCACGGGGTTGAACGAGTTAAGAAGTCCCATCAATTGTTCTTGGCTAAAGAGGACCATTTTGGTATGTTGCAAAAGAAATGATTAGCTAGAGATACAAAACCACTACAACAATTTTTTTTCTTTTTCTCTTCGGTTCCTCTCTTTAACCCGTCTGTTAGCTGGAGTGAGTATATATATATGCATATAAGCAAGAGCCTGAAGTTTCCTAACATTTCACAGGGCAAAATCACGTTGACTCTGCACTCAAACCCAAACCCAGCAAAAAATAGTCAAACCTTGCTGCTGAAAAGTTCCAGTTCACAGTCAAACTTTGCTGCTAAGTTCTGAGAAAGTAAATAGAAAAGTACACATAATAGCGACTTTTCGAGGATACTTGTGTAACTTGTATTTCACTTTTTTAAGATAAAAGCGTCCATTAATAGACAAATGTAAGGACAAGATAGACATTTATATTTTACTTTATAAGGGTATTTTGGTCCATAAATTTCTAATTTTAATTACTATAGTTTTTATGTTTCGGGGGTTACCAAGTTTTTCGGGTTACAGGGGTATTTGGCTATTTGCTATTAAACCAAAGAAATATTATAAAAAGTGGTCATCTTTCAATACTCGCGCTACTAGAAAAAAGCAGGATTAAAAAAACTCAAATTTAATTAAAAAAAAAAAAAAAGAAGATCAAATAACTTCAGCAATGCTACAGACACCGGTGTTTTTACACCGAAATTTTGTACCAACTGACGTGTGTGCTGACTCAACCATCCAACGTGTTTTGGCGTTATTAAATTTTATCTAATGAACGGCCGTCCATAACACTCATATGGACCCCCATCCATATTATATGGACGGACATCCTGATTTAGAGGACGCCCGTCCATTGCTAAATAAAAATAAAAAATATTAAAAAAATTAGGGACGGCCGTTCACAGGTCATGAACGGCCGTCCATAAACATTGGACGAGCGTTCATATGTTAATGGACGCCCGTCCTTTAATTTTGGACGGTTTTATAAAATATAAAAATTTAAAAAAAATATGGGACGCTCGTCCACAAAATTGTGGACGGGCATCCCTAATTTGCGGACGAGCGTTCGTATAGAATGGATGCCCGTCCATAATTTTGTTTAAAAATTTAAAAAAAAATATTTGGACGGTCGTCCCATTCCTTAGGGACGGCAGTCCATTCCTTAGGGACGGCCGTCCCTAAGGAATGGACTGCCGTCCCACCTCTAATTAAAAAAAAAAAAAAGAATTAAAAAAGTATTAGGTTTATTTAAAACTTTTAAAATAAAAAATTAGAATTAAAAAAGTTTTAGTTTTAGGAATGGACGGGCGTCCATTTATGTCTGTTTTCAATCGGTCCAACATGGCGGCTTCCACGTGTTTCGGTACAATTTTTCGGTGCAAAGTTTTCGGTGGATATAGCACTTTTGAAATAACTTTGCCCATCCTAGGTTTGGCAGAACTCCCATTGGTACCCTTGATTTGAAAAACCATCAACATCCCACCTATTCTCCAATTTTAAACTTTAAACTTAATGGTTAAAAGTGATTGGTTTGACTCTCGTAGAGGTTTATTCTCTTCTCTGAGTTCATAGGTTCAAACCTTGGGATAACCCACCATAATAACATTATGACTTACTTGATCTTTTAAACTTGTAGTAGAATGTTTAATGAACCTCGATAATTTGTTGAGATGCGTACAAGCTGACTTGAACGTGCTGATTACTAAAAACAAAAAAAGTTTAAATAGACTGTTTTAGTAAGTAGATAAGCCAACTGAACAGACCTTATATATTAGAAGGAACATAAAAATATTATATCATTATGTTACATTAATATAAAATTAAGAAACATTTAAACAATGCTTTTAAAGTAATTAAAAGATGTTTTTTGGAAGAAAAAAAATATAATTAATGAAGATATTGTTCCTTTTTTAGGGTTAATATTTTTAGTTATTTTAAAACATTGATAATAAATGATATAAGCGATTCAAAAGATAAGCCAACATAAAAGGAGACACTTTTAAGTGCACCTACTTTAAAAATTAAAACACTTTTGCATTGACTATATGAACTTTATTTGAAGATTATAAGAAGATTTTCTTGGTGGGATTTTTTTAAATAGAGAAAGTGTTTATGTCATATATTCCTAAGTGATCATTTAATTCGAAATACACCCACAATATACTCAATATACTCTTATTAGACAGATTTTCATATTCAAAATATAATTTTCTTGGTGGGAATCTTGATTAAATTTAGAGTTGTTAAAGTATCAAACGTGACTTATGTCACTGATTTAAGTATGATTTATATTTCTTGACATCATATTCATTTACATCAAAGAAGTATGTGATCATAAGACGCACTACAACACTCTACTAAACTCATATAATATCAATTATTATAACAACATATTTATTAAATATAAAACATAATAAGATATAAAAAATGTTATATATTATTTATGTTAAAGTACATTTGAACCTTATGTTAAAGCACATTTAAATTTTATGTTAAAGTATATTTAAAATTTATATAAATATATATTTAAAATTCTGTTAAATTATACTTTGTCAAATTATGTTAAGAATATATATATATGTATATAATTTCTGTAAAAGAAATTTTTTTACAGGAATTTTAAAATCATTAAATTTAATTTTATATTAAATTTAATTAAACTAAGTTTAGTATTATATATATATATATATAATTTCTGTAAACGAAAATTTTTTACAGGAATTTTAAAATCATTAAATTTAATTTTATATTAAATTTAATTAAACTAAGTTTAGTATTATTAAATGTCAAATATTTTGAATATATTAAATTTGATATTATTAGATATAAAATAATTTTACAGAAATTTTCAATATATTAAATAAATTAATTTTTTCATATATTATTTCTGTTACACTAGTTAATGTTAGGTTGTTATATAGTTACAAGATAATTATCTTTAGCTGAGTGGTTAATTGGTTTAGTTTTTTTTTTTTTTTTTAGATAAAAAAAAAGTTAAACAGTAAAATACCCAAAAACTTTGATTTTTGGAAATACTACTCCCAATATTATTCAACTTTTTTTAAACCCCTTAAATTTGATAATTTAATTAAATACCCCTAAATATTTTTTTAAAAATTACAAAAACACTCCAATAATTCATATTTATCAGATTCCGGCCACCACTGCCGGAAAATGGCCGGAATCTGTTAGGATGGCGCACTACTGGCTGAATCTGGCAGGTAGTGCGCCGATCTAGCCTTTTCCAATCAGATCCACGGTGGATCTGGCTGGAAAAGGCCAGATCTAAGGCCAAAGATCTGGCCGTTGACGGCCAGATCTTTAGCCGTAACAGTTTATAACGACGGCCAACAAACGGTCGTCGTTGACCATCAACGACGACCGTTTGTTGGTCATCGTTGATGAGAAAATACGGCCAGATCTGGCTGTTGACGGCCAGATCTGGTCGTAGATCTGGCCTTTGTCGGCCAGATCCACCGTGGATCTGGCCGGCAAAGGCCATATCTGCGCACGAACGGCAAGATCCAGCCGGTCATGTGCCAATATGGTGAACCCGGCCACCCTCCGGTGGTGATGGCCGGCTGTCCGTATTTGACATTGGGTTGGGGGTGTTTTTGTTAACTTTTAAGATTTTATTATAGGGAGTGTTTTATAAATAAACAAATATAGGGGATATTTTAATAATTTATAAATCCTACATCGTAATACCCGCCCAATTCAACTTTTTTTTAACTTTTTTCAGAAAATTTTTTCCCAAAAACACCCAATTGTGAACCAAACGAAGCCAAAATATTTGGTAATTGTCTTTGTAATAATGAGACTTGGTAGTCTTGTAAGTTAACTTAAAAACAAAAGGCCGAACGACTTATACTTACCCAAGGTTTGATGAAACGACAGATTGGTACCTAAAAGATTTTAAAACGATAAACAGGTACCTTTTGTTAGTTGAAAAGACTAGAATGCCCTTTGAGAAATATTAGTCTATTTTTTTAATTACTTTTAGTCCCCTTAAGTTTATTAATTCCATCAAATACCCCCAGAAAAAAGTTTAAAAATTAACAGAAACACCCCCATCCACCCATACTTGCCAGATTCAGGTGGCCACAGCAGATGGTAGCCGAAATCTGTCACAACGGTCTACGTCACAGCCGAAATGGCCAGTAATTCACCGATTTGGCCTTTTCTGACCGGAAACTGATGGCCAAAGAAATGTCAACGACGGCCCTAAAGATGGAGCGTTGCGACCGTTGACAGCTAGATCTGGCCGTAGATTTGGCTGAAAAAGGCCAAATCAGTGAATTACCAGCCATTTCCAGTGGTGGCGTAGACCATTGTGATAGATTCCGGCTACCACCGGCGATGGCCGTCGGAATCTGGCAAGTATGAGTTAGAGATGCTAGATTAGACAAAATAGCTAGCAGCCAAAAAACTTTTAAAAAAATCACACGCTTGATCAATTTTGTCGCCCATTTCTTCTCGTTTCCTCTTTACCAAAATTTGGGTTGACGAATTTGGTTAGGATGAACGGCTCATATTTCGACCATCTCTTAGGATCGCTCCACGTATCCTCTTCTGTACTTTCAGGAAAGGCTCATTTGTCCCTCGTTGCTGCCTTAATGATGTTTCTCAGCTGAATAGAGACCAAAGGTAAGTGCTACATGCAGAATATGGAGACACCAATTTGAACAGAGAAAGATAAACCACGATCATTATTGCCTAGCTGCGCATTAAAATAATTTTTTTTACAAAAATAGACATATATTTTTATTTTTTATTTTGTTGAGGGGTAATTTTAATAGTAAGGACAAAAGGGTGTTGGTGGTCTTTTTGTATTTCTGAAAAATTAACAAAAATAATAAAAATACAACAAAATGTATTATTAATAAAGAATGATCCATTATCGATTTGGGCCTAATTATGGATCGTTGCACCTCTTTTCTTAAACCTTGACCATGTTTTTTGAGTCACAGTAAGCCAACTCACAACCTCCCTACAAGAGAATGAATACGGCTCCTCTGAAAATACATAATATTGTTTAATAAATTAGTTAAACCAACTTGTTGGTGTATGCAGTAGATTTAAAGTGAAAGTAATAAGTTGTGACATC